CAGAAAAAAATCACAAAAAAATTACAAAAAAACACAATAAATCAAGAGAAAATCACAAAAAATCAAAAACAACAGAAAAATCGATGTACGCTACAATTTATAGTGAAGGACCCCTCTGTTGACTCGGCCCGGGCGCCCAGTAAATCGAATAAATTTTGCAGAGGAGAAGCTACGCACCTGCATCGGCCCCATCATGTGCGCCTGCCTCCTCTTCATGCCCTTGGCGCGCCGCAAGTCCATCTCTCTCTCCGTGTCGGCCAGCATCTCCTGCCTGCTGGGCAGCGCCACCTGTCCCGTCAGGGTGCGCAGGAAGAACCGGGCCTGTCGCGGCGGGACGGAGTGTTGGGTGACTGACCAGGACAGTGGTTGGGCAAGTAGTCCGAAACCTTTGCACACGCACCTGGAGGTCGAACAGCGAGTTGGCGCACACGTAGAAGGGCAGCCCGACCAGAGCCAGGGTCGGGTAGTCGATGTGCACCAGGTGCTTGTACAGGGGCTGCACGTGGTTGTCCACCACGCGGACGCGGCACTCGTCGCTCAGGAAGGGGAAGGTGTAGAGGTAGCCGGTGCAGTAGAAGACCAGGTCGCAGGGGGCGGACGTGCCGTCGACGAAGTCCACGCCGCGCTCGGTCATCCTGGCCACGTCGGGCGCCTGGCGCACGTTGTCCGGGAAGCGGGTCTTGATGGGCTCGGGCCAGTGGTGGCTGAGGATCACGCTGGCGGCCCCGCCGCGCGCCACCTGTGGGCAGCAGGTGATAATAGGCGATGCCGAAGCCGTTGCGTAGAGAGACTAAGGTGCCCGTTGGAGTCCTTGCCTCCAGACACAGGTCCATGCCCGAAGGCCCGGCCCCGATCACCACAACGTTGCGGCCCTTGAAGGCGTCCGGGGTGCGGTAGTCGTGGCTGTGCAGGGTCTGTCCTTGGAATACATCGGCACCCGGTAGAGTGGGCAGGAAGGGCTTAGAGTAGTGGCTGAACAAAGAGAAACAACTCACGGTTGCCGCAGGTCGTGGTACCCTACCCTCCTACGTGAACCCCGAGACACCGGCTCGGGACGCCTGGCGGGTAGGCAACACGATGTAGCCGTGTCGGACTGTTGCCTACCTCCCAGGCGCCTCTACCCACCCGTTGCACACCATGACGGCGTCGAACTCTTCGGTCTGGAGCTGCTTGGACTTGAGGTCGACGGTGACGACGGTCCAGCCGCCATCGGCCTTGGGGGTCACGCTCTTGACGTGGTGGTAGAAGCGGACGCGCTCGCGGACGTGGAAGTGGTCCGCGTAGTCGTTGAGGAACTGCAGGATGTCCTTGGCGGGCAGGTACGAGCGCTCCTGCTCGGGTATGGGGTAGTCCGGGAAGCCCATCACCTCCTTGGGGAGGTTGGTACTGCGAGGCAAACAACGGGGGTCACCCAGGGTTGTTTATCGGTGGGAACACGCGAGACTCCTCGTCACCGACGCACCTACCGGAGGCTCTTGTACATGCTGGAGTGCACGGGCAGGCCGAACTCGTCCGTGCCCACCTGGTCGGTGTAGACCCAGGTGCCGCCCACGGCGCCCGTCTGCTCGAACACGGTGCAGGTGAAGCGGGCCGGGTCGGCGATCAGGTGCCTGGCGGACGACAGCCCTGCCGCGCCCGCCCCGATCACGGCGACTCGTATCACGCCCATGGCTGTCCTGGTCGGGTCTGGCAGCACCGACAAGATATTACTCTGCTTGTCCTGAAGCGTTGCAGTCCGCCCAATGAGGCCCCCTCCAGAGTACTCTGCGAGTATTGCGTCACGCGCGCTTATCGCCAGAGTAATAAAACTGTCCAGCTCCCGCCACATTCGAATTAAACGTGTCAACTCAGTTGGATGTGTGTCAAAATATGTTCAAAGTCATGTCATGTCGAAATGAGAGGAAATAAAAAACCACTCTGAATGGAAGAAACATTGGAAATGTCGAGTTGATCTCGAGAAGATTCGAAAATGCTGTTGTTGAGTGCGGAGGGAACAAAGAAATATCGGAAAATAGATGAAAAGGAACCAATTCGTACGGGCCCAGTACCAGGCGTGGCTGATTAACCCAGCGCACTTCTGTAGTTAGACTGTACCGCACGCACGAGTGCGCGCGGGTTGCCTACTCGCCCGGCCCGTAAGGCGCCGTGGACAGGGAGGGGCAAGCCCGCCCGCACTCCTGCGTGCGGTACAGTCTAACTACAGAAAGTGCGCGGGGTTAATCAGCCACCTGGTATATCACCCCACCTGAGTAGTTATCTTATCACAGAAAACTCTGTTGAAATATCAGGATAGCCACACGGTACAGGATTAGAGACGTTGCCGGATATATCAAGCATCTGCCAAGTTTTCAAAATGCTGCCATTTGTTTTATTTTA